GTTTCTAAGTCACTGAGCCACCGAGACTCGTTCGTTTGTTTGTGAATGTGATGCGGACACTACTGCGATTATGAGGATCTACCTTCTTATCTCCTTTCACGAGACTTCACTCTCTACTTCACTCTCTCTCTCTCTCTCTCTCTCAGTTTCCATTGATCACGGGCCCCACTCTGTTTCTTTTACTAAATGCACTCTGCACTTCTGATTCATATGACAGTTGAGAAGTGGTGCATCCGTACCAGTGGTTTCATCTTACATGAAATGTTCCACCGAAGTAGTACGTACCCGTTAATATGTGAGAAAAACATAGGCATGACGGTATATTAGTGGATTAATACATCTGTGACGATGAACACATTTCACATAAATCATTCTTTTTAGTTAAGTTACTCTGTCCACTCTTTCATGTTGGATTATGTGGCCAAGTGGCCATATACTTTAGAATAAACAAAACAAAGGTGGACAACACCTTTCCTTGTTTTGGGGAGAAAAAAAAGGGAAAAGCAACAACACCTTTTATTATTGTGTTTGTTCTCTTCACCACCCGTGAGTTTTGGCTCCTTCATAATGGAGGGTTTGGTTGCTTTCTTCCATTCGGTTGTGTGGTAGAGAGAGAGAAGAGAGCTGCAACCCTTTTGTTTTCAGAGGAGAAAAATAGAGAGCAAGGAGAGCAGAGGAGAGAGCATTCGGCTCTCCCATTTGAAACAGTGCTGCTCCTTCCCATTTGTTTGTAATCCCCTTTTGTTAGTGATCACTCAATCAAAGATATTTGTGCTACATTTTGTGGCTTTTGGGAGAGAAGGAATTTGGTATATGTTTCCATCTTCTCCATTTGTTCTTTGTGAGAGTGAGAGCTACTGGGTGTATGTGGGCTATTGGGTTTGAGAGTTAAAACTCTATTTGTAATCTCCTTTTGACATTAGTGGAATTTTCTCGCTGTCTCGGAACTGGATGTAGGCTTACGCCGAATCAGTATAAATCCTTGTGTTTTTTTTGGATTATTTGTCTTGTCATATTTTGCCGTATTAGCTTTGGTTTCACATTTGAAGCTTCCGCACAACATTTCATTCCAAAAATAAAGTATTATGTGTGTGATTTTATTATAAGGGTATTTGAATTGAATATCGTAGGACTATGTGAAAAAGTTGTATCATTTTGTTCTATTGTCATTTGGTTAAGTTTATTTTCTTTATCTAAATTTGAATCTTCTTATTAAAAATCAACTAAAATTAAATTAGAATGTTGATTGTGAAAAGGAACAAAAAATTGATATTTCAGCAATAATCAACTTTAAAGTTCAGAGATTAGCTACAATACTTATAAGTATTTAATGTAATAACTCTTTGAGCGTCAAATATATTCATGTGAAGAAAAATGATAAAAGTGAGACTCTATATGGACTCTGAGCCACCCCACTTTTAGCACTGGAATTCACGTTAAACTGTGGGGTGATAGATAGTCCATAAAGTCATTTTAGTATTTCTCTTCATGTGAATATATTATTTAATACAATTACCCTAACTACCACTACGGTTTAGCAATATTCCTCTAACTTATAAGTGAGAGGTTTTAGGCTCGATTCTAGCAAAAGACGAATTTGTACCACATTATTATTAGCATATTGTGAAACTAAATCCACATCCTCCTCTTTAATAGAGATAATATCGTTTTTAAAAAGAAAAATACAATTCCACTAATTATTATAGTCAAATCTTAAGGTGTAAACACAAATTTTGATATGGTTACCACATCATCCACATGGCATGCCTTTATTTGTTGATTATGATGAGTCAACTCTTTTGACTAATTTAGAGCCAGTTGAGTGCAACATTTGCATGGTTTCTGCAATTGCACTGGATCTGGATCTCTCTTCAATCTGTATTAATTTTTCATAAATAAAATATATAAATATGAAGAAATATGGCAACAAATTTCGGATCAAACCGGCATCGATTGGAGCTATTTTTCAGTCTAAATTACTACTTTAAATAAATTGACAGTTTTAATATTATATTCTGTCTATGATTGCACAGAGAGATTTTTAAATGTAATCAGCATATAGGGTGGTACATCGCGTGTTACTACACAAATGGTGAAATATATATGTTAAAAAATTAATAACTTAAATAATAAAATTTTCTACTATTTACATAAAAATACGCGGTGTACCATCTATATTTCCATTGTAAAAAAAATTCTTGATTGCACGGGTTTATATCTCTGGTTCGTTTTATTTGCACCATCCACTTGTAAACATGTCATTTGATGAGTCACAAGCGACGACCACCATTGGTTCAGATTTTGGTGAAGCTAGCAACCAAAACTGCTGATTTCATCAATTCCTCATTTTTATCCTGTTTTTAAACCATATTTTATAAATCATATCATTTGATGATTGATGGTTGAAGGATGATTTAAAGAAAAAATCAAACAATAATCGTCGTATTATGTGGTTTATAAAATATAGTTAAAAATTGATATGTCTAACATCACCTTATAAAAATGAGAGAGTATGAGATCGATGAACTTGGAAATAGAGAAAGTGAAAAATAAGAATCAAATCAACTAGTCCTTTTAGTTGATCCCACATTTCCAACTTTGAGTATACGAGTATTGATTTTAAGGCGAGACTCACATCTCTTTTCTCGGATCCTAACAAAATTTGTAAAAATGTGTAAACTCCAAGGTTGTAATGATTTTCTCTTTGAGTCTTCTCATACTCAATTCTAGTAAGTAAGGACATGTAGGGCCACTTAACCAAATGGACTCCAAAACCGTTGACTATACAAAGACCAACAAAAGAAAAACCATCAGCCTGGGGGCCATGCCACGTGATAGTCACGTCACTTTCTGATCTAAAGTGTAATAAAGTTACGTGCTTTAATTATCGGATCATCCAAATCCTTAAATTTTCAAATTTTATAGTTTATTGCTACTTGGACAGCATCCATGGCAATGGAATCAAATTCTACTCAAGACCCAAACCCCCATTTCCTCTACCATAAACCCATCATTTCCTTCCTACACTTCACCTTCTTGGCTTCCACAAATGGCCTCCCACCTCCACCTCCACCACCCTCACCCTCACCCTCACCACCACCAACCCCAACTCCCCACCACCGCCATTTGCTGCACCAGCTCCTACAACACCTGCTGCTGCACCCAATCCCACCACCCCTGTCCACCACTACCAGCAGCCACGGACCCACTTCTCCAAGCCCTCGCTTCTCAGCTCCTCCAGTCTAACCCACCAGATCCCTACTCTTCCCACCCCAATCACCACACCCACAAATCCCACGACCCAAAACATCGTTTCCACCACCAAGAACAGCAAGACCAACTTATCTTCTCCCTCCTCTCCCGCATCGAAGCCCTCGAAGCCTCCCTCCACCACCACTACTCCTCCTCCTCCCACCGTTCCCACTCTCCGTACTCGCGGTCTCTCAGAGACTCCGCCGCCCGAGTGATTCAAACCCACTTCCGTGCTTTCCTCGTTCGCAGATCACAAACCCTCAGGCAGCTCAAAGACCTCGCATTCATCAAGTCTGCTTTCACCTCTCTCAAATCCTCGATTTCCAGTGAAACCCACTTGGATTTTCACGCCATTTCTCAGAAATCCATCGATTTACTTCTCAAGCTTGACTCGATTCAGGTAAATAATTTCATGGGTAAATTGCAATTTTACTATTTTTTTTATAAAGTTACTGCCTTTTTTGTTATTTTTTTAGAGGTTTTTGGTTGTGCACTTTGTTTCCAGAGCGGCGATCCGATTGTTAGGGATGGGAAGAGGTTGATTAGCAGAGATTTGGTAAGGTTTTTGGAGTTCATTGATGGGGTTGTTATGAAAAGGCATGGGCTTTCACTGAAAGCAGTGAAGAATGTGAGGATTGGTCAAAATGTTAACAAATCACGGGTTTTGCCCGCCAAGTGCGGTGGCGATTTGGGAAGGGATCAGAGGGAGAAGATTGAGAATTTGAGGGATAGGATCGAGAAGATTCGTGGGTTTGCAAGAGTTTCGGAGAATGATGAGGAAGATGTGGAGCTTGAAGGGTTTCAGCATGTCAGTGATGAAGATGAAGAAAACCTTAGACTTCGATTTAAAAATGGGGTGTTGGTGAAAAGGCATGGGCTTCAACCTAAGGTCAAGAAAAATGTGAGCTTTGCGGAAAATGGGAATGTGTATCGGGTCATTAGCAACTCCGATGAACCAGTTTCGAGTGGGGATGGGAGTGATTCTAGTGATGATCATGGAGAGCTTATTGGGAACCTTTGCAGTGAGGTTGAAGAAGTTAAAGCCTTTGTTCAGGAGACTGAGGAGGATGACGAGGAGGCATTCACAGAGAATGGTGGATCACCAGAGGCTAGTAGTGATGGAGAAAGAAACCCTAGAGCCAGAATGATTCCGAGAAGAGAAGATATATATGAAACCAAAGGCCATGGTCAGGCTCGGAATGAGTATTTGTTATTCTCAGCTCCTTTGCCAGTGAAGATGGAGTCGAAAGCTGATATGGTAAAGAGAAACAAGCCTGTGAAACTTGTGAAATGAAGGAATGTAACCTGAGTTTATGTTTGGGTCCTACAGTTTGTGTGTGGCTGTCGGGGTGGAAATTAGGTCTTCGCCATTGTATCATCCACAAATGTCATTCTAATCGTTAGGTTTTGGTCGATTAGTAGAACACCAAGAAATAGATGTCGGATGGGTGTTTGATCCTTTCCCTCGGCTGCTGATAGAGGGAGTCCGAACACTATTCTGTAAGATGTAACCTTCCACCTAAAGATTCTCTGTATTTTGGATGATGAATTTAACCTGATTTCTTTCGACTTTTTACTGCTTCCTGTTTGTTCTCTCTTTCAAACGTTTACCAATTAAAAGGAATTAGGGTTTTCGAATTTATAGAAATCTCTTCAAAGATACAAAGACACCTAAGTTCATGTTACGGAAACCCAGTGCAGATTAATGAAACTTATTTCAAGAGGAAAATGGAAACCAGAAAGCCAAGTACTTCAAATCTTAAGCTGCATCTCTAAACGTAATGCTTGGAATTTTTTTAACATGAATTTATATTCAACGAACAGACAAAAGAAAGAAAAACCTCGAACTTGAATGAATGTCAGTCTCATATCCTCCATCTACTTGCTGCGTTGGCAAACGTTTAGTTTTTGTTGTCCTGCAAAAGAGAGAAAACCATGTAAGAGAAGGTGCGGATGTTCGACGCAGAGGAATGACTATCTCAACAAAAGTAACTTACATCTGCATTTTTTTTTTATCTGAATCCTTAATCACTGGCCTGACAAGTATTTGTTGAAGTTATTTTCTTCAGAAGAGTCCTTTCTGGTGGTCGACGGGAACTATCAGCCTACCTGTCTAGCAATTGCGGCGTCATCTCCCTTGATAGCTTGTCCTAGCCCTAGTTTCTAGTTTTGAGGCATGGATTTCATGGCGTTTTGCTTGGCACTGACAATTTTTACCCTAGCCTCTCTTAATGCGTTGAGTGCCACCTTAAAGATTTGGTCAGATGCCATCCCTTCCTCTGCACATTTAATGGCTTCCTGGTACAGAAGATTGTATTGCAAGTTCCTGCCCTTTTGAGAATTTCCCTGTAATTCGACACACGGAAGGACATCCAACATAGCCTCTTCCTTCGCATTTCGGGTCCATCTCTTTAAGATATAACACGGTGGGAGGGTAAAGACATTTGTGGCTTTAAACACTGCAAGCACATGTCTGCAGAGGATCCCTTCAAATTCAAACATCTTGCAACTGCAACTAGCTAGTTGTTCACCTATGTTAAAAGCTACGAAATAAATTTTATGTTCTTCGTTGAATCTTGCTACCTCATAAGTTCTTGTTCCTTCGTCCTCTGCACTTAATTTCACAGCAAACAGAAGGGATTCAAAAATTTCATCCTGAAATATGGTGAACATGTTTCTTGTGTAGATGTCTGCTCCTTGCTTTTCCACAGGAAGTGGTGTTTTTAGAACCGGTTTAGTATAAAAAGTTTCGAACTCCGCCTTTGCTTCTTTCTCATATCTCTCATCTAAAGCCTTCTCATATTGCGCTGCAAAATCTTGTAAGGTAGTTCCAGCATTCACATAGCCATCAAAAAGTGAGTTCACACTCCCACTCCGCTGGGCAGCATACAGCCCGGCAAAGAATGTGTCTCTTATGTATACCGGAACCCACAATTTGCGATCAATATAAAGCGATTGAAGCCAATCACTCTCTCTAAGACTGTACTTATCAAGAAGCATCTGCCAAGCTGATTCAAACTCATCAGGTGTCTCGCTCTTGTTAATGCATCTATCAAATTCAACTTGAAAAGTCCTTGGGGTTACACTATATACATTTCCCATTTCCTTCGGCATTTTGCTTATGATATGCCACTTGCAAAATCGATGAATTGATTGAGGAAAAACTTGTTGCACTGCTCGACTTATAGTTGGGTCATAATCGGTTATAATTAGACCTGGCTGCCGTCCAGACATTGCCTCAAGCCAAGTTGTGAAGAGCCAAATGAAGGTAGATTCAGACTCATCTGCAAGCAATGCACAACCGAACAGAACTGAATGTTTGTGATGATTTACTCCAGTGAATGGCGCAAATGGCATTTTGTACTGGTTCACTTGATAAGTAGTATCAAAGGCTACAACATCGGAGAAACAGTTGTAAGCGATTCTTGATCTTGTGTCAACCCAAAAGACGCTACTCAGCCTCTCTTCTTCGTCAACCTGTATTGCATAATAAAATGCTGGATCACTCGCTTGCATAACCTTAAAAAACCCAAGCAAACTTTGGGCATCGATGCCAAAAGTGCTCAACCGGCCTCTTCCAATATAATTGGCATCACTCTGCACAGCAAATGCCATCTTTCCAAAACTGCCAGAATCAGCCAAGACATCTGCGGAAGAATCCAAAGACAATCCCGGAGAACTGAAAGAGTTGCTACAACTTTTGTCAGGATCAAAACCCTGCTTATGCGACCTAAGAAAATGCCGCATAGCAGGAGTGACCAGCTCATGATTATGGTCCTTCTCTAGCTTCACCACATACCATCTCCCATTTTCGCGCTTCCTAACAGTCATCAGAGCCTTGCAACCTTCCCTAGTGATTGCCCTAGCACGCCTTCTCTTCACATCCTCGCCCGAATCTCTCTTTGCATTTTTCTCCCGGCGGAACCCTTCTTTAGAACAACAAAACTCCCTAGATATAATCGAATTATCCTTCTTCGAGCGGTAATATGAGTTCACGCGAATGCTAAACCCCGTTTGTTTAGCATACGCATTGTAAAAATTCCTAGCATCGTCTTCGGAGGTAAACTCCATACCCAATGTGGGCTCTATAATCCCACCTCCTACTAACCGTGACAAGTCAATCTCCACATCACCCTCTTTGCCATCATCCAACACCACCGGAGCTTCGACATCCTCTACGACACAATGTCCATAGCTTTCGCCTTCCAATGCCACATTCGAGTCCACTACCTTACCTCCGCATTCACCGGAAGGCTCTGCCTCCATGATGATATACTGTTCAATTTCAATGCCCTCTTGCATTACAAAATTAGAGGGTACCCTCCATTTCCGAAAGCGAAAACCTTACAAATTACAGCTCAAAACTAAAGGGTACCCTTCAACTCTGTAGCAAATTTAAGTGAAAAAACACTCAAATTCTCATTCTTTGCATAAAAATATGAAAAATCATGCGAATTTTGGACCCAAATCAAAATTCTGCTACAAAATATTAGACAGTTATCTAAGAACTCAGATTAAATTACCAGAAACTCCCTCTCGAAGTCGTCAGAGTATTAAAGTTGATAAATTTAAAGGGTTTTCAAAATTTACCTTACAAATTTTGGAGTTGCAGAGAGTGAGAGCGAGAAGAAGGAGAGGTGATGGGAGTTTTTAAGAGACGAAAATGCGCGCCGCCGCGGACCAGAGGAATGGGAGGACTACAATTACGCTCCGCTTTCGCTTACCGAATACAAACACTACGTGAGCCGTCCGATGGTTTAAGTTGGGCGAGGTGTATTGGGAGATCGGACGGCTGATACGCTTCGTCCATAGGCTGAAATAAAGCCCATTAGGCCATCTCCAACCGAAGGCTGGCCAGATGGCTCGTTTGAACCCTCTGACTCTCTAAGAAATTAATATTTTATTAAACAGTGCATGATCATATTTCTTATTATCTTCAACTGGGGGTCAAAGGGCTAGAGCACTCATTTTAGTCCTGTTACAAAAAATCATCTCCAACCGAGGGTCATAGAGCCAATATAATTTTTATGTTGTTTAATGTTATTTAATGTTGTTTAATATTGTTTAATGTTGCTTCATGTTACTTAATGTTATGTAATGTTTAATGGTTTAGGAAGTTACAGAGAAAAAAAATTTACAATTTTTAAAACAAATTTTGTAATTAAAAAAAAGTAAAAAAAATATAAAAAAAAAATAACGGCTAGCTGACGTCAACTAGTTACCGTTGGTTTTCAAATTCTGGCCTGGCCCTGGGCCGGTTAGCCCTTAGGCCGTTTTTTTGTCCAGTGAGACCCATGAGCCCTTTGACTTGACTCTCAGTTGGAGATAGTTTTCAGGTTATTTTTGACCCTCTGGATCCTTCGGTTGGAGATGGCCTTATATTAGTTTTGTAGGCTTTGATTATCCGGATCTGTTTAATTATGAGAATTGTTTCAGTTCCGAGTTAGGTCAGTTGGTTAAGATTTGCGTCCAACTCTTTTTTCACAAGTTCAAAATCCTCTCATGTATTTGTTTGTTCTAAAATATCACATGTATTTGTTTAATTATAAGATTTGTTTCAATTTAGAGAAATTTTGAAATAGGTCCAATTTTATAGGCCACATTTTGAAACAGGTCCAAATTTTAGTGACTTTTGACTTTTGGAATAGGTTCAATTTTTAGTTACTTTAGACCCATATCAAAAGACCATTAGATCAGTTGGCTTCTGCCTTTTTCTTCATGAGTTCAAATTCCTCGATAGATTTGATTGTTCTAAAATATCACATTTGTATCCAAATAAAATTGTAAGGATCGTTTTTCTTGTCCTTCCTTTTGGCATTGCTTCAAAATTCAAGACTATTCATTGACCTAAATCAAATTTTCAATTTAAGAATATTTAGAGCAAGTTTAAAGAAAAGGTGGTTGTAATTAATATTTAACGATGTGAATATCTAAATCTTAAGCAAAGATAAATTAAGAACTCTTCGGAATCTAGATGATCTTTTCTATTAGACTTTGTATTACTTGAAGAGCAAGTTATTTTCTCATCATGATTACTATAAATAGGTCACAACAAAGATAAACTAGTAAAAGCCACCATTTTTAGAAGATTTCAATCACGTCTCCAATGAATTCTACTATTGCAAATTCATTGATGCTTTTGAAATTCGAACTTCAAATCCTCACCAGAAGAAAGGTTATAAGATCATTCTTTATTGCAAAAAAAAATGCAAACAGATATTCCTCTAGGGTACTCAAAATTCATAACTAATTACACCTTTAAACCGAAAAACTCAAACTTAAAGGCTTAAAATACAAATTCTCTCATATATTTGCGTCCCACTCTTTTTTCACGTTCTGAGTTAAGTCAGTTAGCTGAGAATTGTTTCAGTTCCAAGTTAGGTCAGTTGGCTGAGATTTGCATCCAACTCTTTTTTTTTTTCACAAGTTCAAATTCCTCTCATATATTTGATTGTTCTAAAATATCACTTGTATGTCTTTAATTATGCGATTTGTTGCAGTTCTAGGTTAAATTGGTTGGCTTCGCCTTTTTTTTTTTTTATTGAGTTCAAATTCCTCCGATAGATTTGATTGTTCTAAAATATCACTAGTATCCAAATAAAATTGTAAGGATCGTTTTTCTTGTCCTTCTTTTTTGCATTGCTTCAAAATTCAAGATTATTCTTTGACCTAAACCGAATTTTCAATTTAAGAATATTTAGAGCAAGTTTAAAGAAAAGGTTGCTAGTAATTAATATTTAACCGTATGCTTGTGTAAATCTTAAGCTTCTTTGGGATCTAGATGATTTTTTCTATTAAACTTTGTATTACTTAGAGAGCAAGTTATTCTCTCATCCTTATTACCATAAATAAAGAAAGTGTAAATTACACAGAATTACCTTAATTATTGGGTCATTAACAGTTTCATATGTTGTTTTTAAAAAGTTTCAATGTCATACCTTATCTACGAATTTGTTACAATTTCATACCTTCCGTCAATTGTCTGTCAATTCCTCCGTTAAAATGCTGACGTGGCATGAGGCGGGGCACACTTTATATTAAAAAAATTAATAAAATATTAATTAAAAAAAAAAAAAAACCAAACCCAGATCCCATCACCCCCATCCCCTTCATCATCTTCATCTTCATCTTCCCGTCCACCGCCCACACCCCCCCCCCCAACCCCCTAAAAAAAAAAAAAAACAGTTGAGGTGGTCTGGGGAAGGAAGGGTTGGGTGGGGTGCAATGATTTGGACAATTTGGGTTCAGATTTGTGAATTTTTTTTTTTTGGTTAGATTTTGAATGGGAGGGAAGGTGAAGAGAGTGGAGGAGAGGGAGGTGGGTGGAAAGCTCGGGAGGCAGAAAGGGAGGGGTTGCAGGTGGGGTTATGGGTTTGGAAGGAAGGTTTTTTTTTTGTTGGGGGAAGGACGGGGTGGACGGGAAGATGAAGATGATGAAGGGGATGGGGTTTCGTTTTTTTATTTTATTTTTATAATTAATATTTTTAATATAAAGTGGGCCCTTCCTCATGCCATGTCATCATTTAACAGAGGAATTGACATACACGGAAGGTATGACATTGCAACAAATTTGAAGATAAGGTATGACATTAAAACTTTTTAAAGACGAGGTATGAAAATGTTTATGACCAATAGTTGAGGTAATTCTGTGTAATTTATCCATAAAGAAATCATATTCCTGAATTCCTCAAGTCATTCTCCATCTTTCTCTCTCTCACCTGTCCCTCTCCAGTCGAGCTCTCTCTCCCTTCAGTAAAATTGGTCACAACAAAGGTAAACTAGTAAAAGCCACCATTTTCAGAAGATTTCAATCACATCTCCAATGATTTATACTATTGCATAATCATGATGTTTATGAAATTTGAACTTCAAATCCGCATCTGAAGAAAGGTTATCAATTGCTCTTTATTGCAAAAAAATGCAAACAGATATTCCTCTAGGGTACTCAAAATTCATAACTAATTACACCTTTAAACCCAAAAACTCAAACTTAAAGGCTTAAAATACAAAGCTTAAGCCCAGAAGTCCAATGAGCTACAGCATTACAAATGTTCCCTGAAATCGCTCGTCAACATAAGTGAAAATTTCGCAAACCTGCACAAATCAAAGAATTGCAGCAACAATACGTCATGACTGCTACAAACATTCAAAGTATAAAAATTACGCTCATATTGAGAGATCCACAAGATATAAGTAGCCACCCATCAGGAGGTCACAAGGGGAACAAGTCTCAAATTGGGTTGGTCATGTGCAACGAACAACAGTTATCAGTATCGAGAAACAGTTGGCTCAACCATGACTAAAGGTAAAAACAGCAATGTGAGTTGAGAGTTGAGGTTTAAAGCTATACATAATCTCGATTATCAGAGTCTTATCATGAGTCATGAGTCATGAGTCATGACCACTGAATAGAACTTGTCTTTGCAAAATCAATGCTCGTTGTACAGTTTAGACAAATCACACAGCGGCATTCACTCTGATATCAAAGTATCATGTTTTATGGTTAGAAGTTAAGAGCGTCTTAAGAAACCGGATTGTAAAATGGATTATAGATAGAACTAGTCTTTGGAAAACATTGGCTTGTAAGGATCTTTCATTGAGTAATGTACTGAACATCTTAGAACTTATTTCGATGATTTTGTCATAAACAAAACCGAATTGTGAAAAGGCTTAAAGTTAGAACTTATCTTTCCGGATGGCAAGGGTTTTTTAGAGAGTACTTGCACTGAACATCCCCGAACTTATTTCAATATAACTTGTCTTAACAAAACCGAATTGTAACGATACTTCGGAGTGTAAATGTACCGCACCTAATTGAACTTGTTTTTGAAAAACTGACTAACAGGGAGTACTGCTCAAGCGCATTTGGGAGGACAGGACATCTTTCTAAACATTGACACAAATCAAACACTGAGAAGCCAAATCACAAGAAGGAGAAGAACAAAGGCAAATAAGCCTTGAATATAATATTTTTGGATAGTTCCGGCCAAATCAAGAACTCACCTTACATTTCACAACCTCTAACTTCACTAAATAATTTATGATTTGATATCTATTTGTGCATTAAGTTTGATATATAATCTTTCCATGACAAAAAACTAAACACTCTGAAATAAAATAAGCTTAGGGCCGTTTGATAACCATTTCATTTACAGTTTTTGGTTTACGATTTTTGGATTTTTTTTATAAACAAAAATTAAAAACTGAAAACGAAATGGTTATCAAACAGCTCTACAGAAGTTAATCCAGTTTAAGCATTTTCACCATCAAAGAGGGAAAACACTACCTAACAATTTCGATTATCAAGATATAATCTTTTCATCAAAGAAACAGAAAAGTCAGTCACTCACATCATGAAGGCTAAGTTGGAATTAAGAAATAAAGAAATTTTACGATTCCCAGTAATTCCTATAGTGATTGAGACCTAAAGTTTCAATTTTTATTTCTTTACCCAAAATTACTCAGAAACAGAGAAAGCATCATTCATCCTCATTAATTAATAATTAAAAACCAAATTATGCATACAAACCCATTAATCAGACAACCAAAAACCCTAATAAAACCCAGACTAACAAAAACCCAACAAATTGAAGACCTGTGCGCACGCAAGTTCGAATTAGATTACAAAAACCCAACAAAAATAAGGGAAAATTAATCATATTTAGTGTAGATAAGACGGGATTTTACCCAGAAATTAATCAATTTCGGTGCTTGATTGGGTTCTGAACCTCCATGACGCTCTTGAGCTTGGGGGCGTAGAGAGAGTAAATAACAGCCTGCCGTTTGGCGACCTCCAGCTGAGCCTTGCCATCTGAGAACGCGGCGGATATGGCAGACGGGTCCGAAAGGTTCCGATTCTGACGAAACGCGTCGACGGCTCTGCGTTTCGTGTACTCCCTGATGTTGTAGTCGGTGAATTTGCGAGCCACTCGGAGAAAAGAGCGGAACATCGTGAGCACCTCCGCCCGAGAAGGAACTCCGGCCGCTGCACTCATGGCGGTTGTTATGGCGCCTCCTCTGAGCTTTCTCGAGAGCAGAAGAAACGGCGAGAGAGATTGAGAGAGTGTGAGAGACACTTCGAACACGCTCTGAAGAAACGAAAGTTTGCGGCTTTTTGCTCGTTAGCTTCCTATATTGGTGGAACAAGACGGTGCGTTTAATGGATACAGGATTATAAACGTGGCGGACCGCGAATGTAGTATGCTTTCTTGTGGAGATATTTTTGTATGTTCGACATAGTATAAAACCGATATTCTTATACAATTGGAATGACACATGAAAAAAATAATTTACCATCTTGTGTTTCGAATACATTAAAAAATCTATATTTCTTGTGGATGGGGCGAGAGGCAGTGAAGAACGACTTATCGATACACCTTTTGAAATGAAATATTGACAATGCTTCTCTTCCCAACAACTTATTCTATTCCAAATTCCTACTCAACGTATTCTTTGGCTTTGTGACTAAGTATAGGCTATAGGGCTTTGATTGTTTCATTGTCTGACATCCTGAATTAAAAGGGGCAGATGTCACTTGGACTAATTCAGAAACATTGGGCAATTTACTTTAAATTCCCCACTAACTGACTATACAGGAGAGAATACAAATGATCGAACAACCGATAATAGAACAACCTATTCTTGGACAAGATGGGATTGTGCGTGTTTATGGATTGAACCAAATTCAAGCTTATGGACACACGTTTTAACTTTATCACATGACGTTACATGATTAGTTTGGAACTTATCAACTTTGAGCCTTCATTTCATGCGAGTCCTTTTCATGGAGGTGTTTTTATAATACACGATATTGGTGTTGTAGAGGTTATCACGAGAAAACCAATAAAGTATTGTGAGGGAATCTTACCTTAAATTAGGATGTCATTGTTACTCTAACAATTAACGATTGAATGTTGATATGTGAATAAAGTAGAAACACATGTCAGCATTTGATTGGTTTGTGATGATTTCATAGTGGCATTGTAAGTTTAGATGTGGCTTTATATGTCCCAGAGGAGTGGAATCTCTCTCTTAGGAAAAGGATCCTCACCGGATTCTTTTCTTAGGATTCTAGAGATTCTGCAATTATATACGTTCATCGTACATAATACGGTCAGTTTTCATTAGGTATTATTTATATTTGAATTTTAAAATTTAAAATTTTAAATGATTTCTGACCGCACGATGTACAATAAACGGATACGATTGCGGAATCCTTAAGATCCCTAAAAAAATAATCCGGCCAAGATCCTTTTTCTCACTCCTAAGCTCGATTTCTGTCAATTGGAGATGTGGCCGCACTTCCTTGCGCCTCAGTGGTTTGTCATTGACGACATGCATATTTTTAAGTACGTGTGCGGCGCATGGGCTTTGGGCATCAACGTCGTTAGCGGCGACTTTGGCCATTTGTAGGAAATTCGAAATGTTCAGCACATCAGTTCACAATTTCTTGTTCCTCTAACAATAGTTACGATCACACAGAACACAAGTGTGTACGTGGTTCATCCAACTCGACTTCAAATATGAGCTATGCTTACTGGTATTTATATGAAATGAATTATAATTCGAGTGGTATGTTTACCAGCTCGAGAGCTTAAAGCATTGAAAGAGTGAAAGCAGGTGGAGAGACGTTACAATGAGGAAGATTATCCCTTCCACACGGTATATATAATCCGCCCAAGGGTTCGTGAAAACCATATGAACATGTATGGGGTCTGAACCTAAAAATTGATCAGAATTTTAAGATACCTTTAAGCTTTTTTCTGAAAATCCATGTAGGGTTGATTCGGTGTAAAAAGTTAAAAATTATCAAATCAGAATCGGAACTTCTAATCTAACTTATACGATTACTTAGAGCGTACGCTTGCAACTAATTTCATGCTCGCTATATCGTTGGACAATCCTTGTCGGTTATCACATCATCTTAAATTCTTCAGCGCATAAATTAGGCGCAATAACAGCTAAAGTTTGCACTACTTTGCCCTAAAAAGAGCAAAACAGCATATAGTGCACAAACCACATACAGAAAGGTTCCATTCCATGGCCCAGTAAAGCATCTGCTCCCTCTATATCTATATCTCAACTTAATTAGAAGCTTCCATGCTAGTTACCAAATTAATGGATTTACTACTGCTAATCACCGTTCTATTAGAGTGGCGTTATTCCCACCCTAGTGTCTTATCTCTCCATCCACTTTGTAATGAATTTTTTAATTACAAATTTGCTTATATATAAAATGACCGATAAAGACCTTAAAAAGTAGCTCTCATTCACAAACTATTTATCTATCCTTAAACCCTCACCTAATAAAATTCCATTGCTACTCAACCTGAAATCGTTCTGATTCCACACTATTTTCTACATTTTCTGCAAATTAATTCTCATAAAAATCTAAAATTATTTCTTACTGGTGCAATAATTTTAGAGACAAGCTCGGAGTGGAGCGAGAGTGCTAATGAGGATATTTTAGGAATAAAAGTGGGTGAGGAAAGAGCATTTTAATTTTTTAACTTTTTATAGCAGGTGAAATTATAATATGGATGGAGAAATAGAACAATGAGGTGGGTCTAATAGCTCTCTTCTATTATTGCTAATCAAATTTACTTAGTGCATGAGTCGGGACAAGGGTGAGAAATCAAATGCGTCATGGATTTGCAGCTACAGCATTCAGAAAGCACCGTTTATATTAGTTTAACTATTTTTGTTAATTACTTTAATTAGCAAAGTTTGATTTGCATAAGAAGCCGACTACTTGCAGAATTCGAATCCCCGGCCGGCGGTCAAACCCGGCAACTGGATGCCAAAAACGACATAATCCCCTTAATAATGTGCCCAAATTGTCGGCAAAGCGAAAACGGCATCAAACACAACACGAACAAAATGAAAAGTCTAACTTCTAGATCTAGGTATTTGATTAAGAAATTGATCGAGACTTCATTAGATTTAATTTAATAATCAATCATGACACGCGAATATACAATTTAATTCATAACCGCAAAAAAATAAAAATAAAAAAATCGAATTTCTTGACATCTCTCAAATTAAGAGCTAGTCCGCAACAATTTGATATTCTCAAACAGGCAATGAGAGAAATGGTACTACGAGGCCCACTTTGAAGAGGGGTTTGATTTTGATTTTGGTTTGAATTTTCCTTTCTTCTTGTGCTAAAACGCCTAACAATCTCATTCAATTTCTTGGCAATCGGTGGTATATTAATTTGATTTGATTAATGACTTAGATCCTATCAATAAGTGACTTTTGTATCATTCTCTCTTTTTCATCTTTATTTTCTTGAAAACAAAAGCAATAACTTAATAGTTGGTGAAGGTGTATGACCACGTCATTTATAAATTACTGCTAATAAAATCGTAAGATTTCCTTGTATTTTAATACCACTGACCCCATCCCACTTAGTGTAAAAGCTGCATAAACAGGCAGCCTTACCGAAGCTTCTCTTGTATAACCCATGTTAGACTCCAGTCGAAATATTTTGATTTGTGATGCTATCAATATATCATCCCAAATGTTACATCATCTTGAGTTACTCATAACAGTGGACGATCTATTTCTATAGGCGAATAATGCGATTTTTTTTTTTAACCTATACAAAAAGATATACCTGGCCGTTCTAACATACTAATTGTAATTTATCTTCAATTTTAACCTAATTAAATTTGTTAACGCCCAACTAATTATCTTAATCAACCATCAACCACATAACCACAATCCTCCCATCTTAAACATAGGAAGTTTAGGAACACCATTTCTCAATTTAGCCCCAAACTTATCCTCAAAGGTCAAACCTTCCCTCCCCAATTCTCTCTCTAAAGCCCAACACGGTTTTGTGTTTTGACTTAAGAAAAAAAAATTGAAGAAAATCAAATATTAAATTAATTAAAATCTTAATTAACAAAATTAATTAGTAATTAGTGATTACTTTATTATTTTCCCGGAAAACGAAATTAGATCGGACTAATCGAGTCGATCAATCAAAGACGTCCTCACAAATTCGGAAGGAAAGCTTTTGCACAAAAACAAAAACAAAACCCAAAAAACCAACGTTTTTTTTTCTCTCTCTTCATCCTTTCTCTCTCTTGATCCATGCTTCCCGACCCAGAAAACCACAATAGATTGTTTGGTTGAGATCTGAAATTAATTAATCAAAAAAGGGGGGAAGAGGAAGGAAAGATTGCCCATTTTTCGATTTCGTCGAATCTCCAATGCGGTCTTCGCGAAGGCCCAGAAGAAAGAGCAAAGATTTGAGCAGGAGGAGCGGCAGATCTGAGTTGGGCAGCGTCGAATCTCGTTGTGGTTGGGGATTTGGAGTCGCGTTTGGCGGGTTTGGATCTAATGGTGAGGTGGGCATGGGCGGCGGTGGCATTGAGTGGCGGTAGGTCGGGCGGTGCTATTGAGTTGCAGAAGAATAAGGAGGAGGGGCTGCATAGACGACGATGCAGCTTCACTTCTCGCCTAGTATGAGAAGCATAACGATCTCGAGCAGCAATGGGTTTATTGACTTGATGAAGATCAAGGTCGGAGCTCGCCACATCTCTTATCGAACGGTTTTCCACACCATTCTAATCCTCGCTTTCTTATTGCCTTTCGTCTTCATTCTCACTGCTGTTGTTACTCTTGAAGGTGTCAACAAGTGCTCCTCATTTGGTACTCTTTTTATTTATGTATTCATTTTATTTATTTTGTCAATCCCAATTGATTTTTTTTTCTTCAGGTTTTGTTTGCGTTTAATTGCTTGTTTATGATAGTTATTGATGGATCTTGACTTGCCCATTTGATTGTTATTGTTAATGCTGGCTTGATTGGATCAATCCGATCGAATGGTTCTATTAACCGGGTCCATTTGATTCGCAACGAAATCTAAATCAAATCAAATCAAATCAAATCAAATTTTGATTGATGGGTCTCCACGTATCGATTCCTGTGTTGGCAATCTGTTAGTTTAGGAATTCAATGCCATTGGGTTGGTTTGCTTATGCAGTTCTGCAGTTTATCATATATTTTTTGCGAGATTTGAGGTGGATCAAATTGTCCATTTCATTGTGATGATTGGTTCGATATGAATTAAGATTTGAGATGTTCTGTATAGGATGACTATTGTCAAATCAACTATTCATTTACGAATATCCATTGTTCATCTAAGCTAGCTATTTGTTTAATCTAAAAAGTCGAGATTGAAAAGTAATAAGATTTCCCGCTTAGTTTACCAAGTCAAGTACACCCAGAAAGGATTGTATGCTTACTATTTTATTTAATGTGTTCAAGGATTATGGAATAGGCTAGGTGATCTCTGGTACTTAAACCTTAATTAGAATTGTAGGCGTAACACCGATTCTCTAAGTTTGTCCCTAAAGAGATCTATGTTCTTCCCTTATCTTGTGATACTGTAACCATCTATAACTCTTCATGATTGATCATCTGGTTTCTTAGATTTTCAACTTTTTTTATTGTAACTTTGTGTTTGCTTTCTATGCCTGCTTTTATTATCTATATGTTTCTTAGGTTATGCACCGCAGCTTTTCTTTAACACTTTTGACATTGAATTTGTGACTTTTGTTGCTTTACTCTTGTGCTTCAGACTGTTTAGGTAGGCGCTTGGGACCAAGGCTTCTGGGTAGGGTTGATGATTCAGCGGTAAATAACTTTTTTCTCCAGTTGCTATAAATTTTTTTTCCATGAGGTTACATCAACCAATTCTGTATTTAAGTTTTGATTTCAGTCAGTAAGTTTAATGTATGATTATCTAATCTGGATCTTTGTGGTTGTGGTGACGACACAGCAGAGACTGGTTAGAGACTTTTACAAGGTTCTAAACCAAGTGAACACTGAAGAAATCCCGGCTGGTCTAAAACTTCCAGATTCATTTAATCAACTTGTTTCTGAAATGAAGAACAACCAGTATGATGCAAGGACCTTTGCTTTCATGTTAAGAGCAATGGTACGTTGTGTTCTATAAAAATAAAAATAAAACGTAATTTGGGTCATGTTTCGTATAGTGCATTAATAATTTTGGAGAAACCCTTGTTAACTGTTAGCACCCTAAAAATGATGTTTTTTTTTTTTTTTTTTTTTTTTTGTGTAGATGGAGAATTTTGAAAAGGAAGTCAGAGAGTCTAAGTTTTCAGAGTTGATGAACAAACACTATGCAGCAAGTTCTGTGCCCAAAAGTATTCACTGTCTGTCTCTGCGTTTGACTGATGAATATTCATCCAATGCTCATGCACGCAAACAATTGCCTCCTCCAGAATTACTGCCATTGCTCTCTGACAATTCCTATCACCACTTTATTCTATCAACTGATAACATTCTGGCTGCTTCAGTTGTTGTTGCTTCTGCTGTCCAGTCATCTCTACAACCTGAAAAGATAGTCTTCCATGTCATTACTGACAAGAAAACCTACGCGGGTATGCACTCATGGTTTGCACTCAACCCTGTGTCCCCTGCTATTGTTGAAGTGAAAGGTGTGCACCAATTTGATTGGTTAACAAGAGAAAATGTTCCAGTCCTTGAAGCCGTAGAAAACCAATATGGAATCAGGAATTATTACCACGGGAATCATATTTCAGGGGCCAATCTTAGTGCTACAACTCCACGGACATTTGCATCAAAATTGCAGGCTAGAAGTCCAAAATACATATCCTTACTCAACCATCTCCGGATTTATATTCCTGAGGTAACCCTCTTCTTTAAGTTGGAGACTTTGAGTTGATTGCAGTTCTTTTATCTTTTTGGACAGGTGTTCTATTTGATAAATTTTATAAGATTTTCTTGTACTTGTATTATGTCGAAGTGTGTTTCCTGATCATCTGTATATTGTGACAGCTATTTCCCAACCTTGATAAGGTGGTTTTCCTAGACGATGATGTTGTGATTCAACGAGATTTATCACCACTTTGGGAAATTGACCTTGGAGGAAAGGTCAACGGAGCTGTTGAAACTTGTAGAGGTGAAGATGAGTGGGTGATGTCCAAGCGATTCCGGAACTACTTCAATTTTTCCCATCCCCTCGTATCAAAGAATTTGGACCCTGAAGAATGTGCATGGGCTTATGGGATGAATATTTTTGATCTCAATGCCTGGAGAAAAACAAATATTAGAGAGACTTACCATTCCTGGGTGAAAGAGGTAAAATCGAAGTAGTAGAGCTTCCCTTACTTAGGGTTCTGTTCATTTTTTTCATTTTCTGGTGGAATGATGAATCTGGTGATAATTGTGATGTAGAATACATATGCAGTCATGGTAATTCTTTTGTTAGTTTCATTTTCTTTGAAATCATCTTCAACTGCATTTTACTTTTCCTTAGAAGTCAGTTCTTAGCTCTTTACTTGTGCATTGTCTTAATTTACTTTAATTGGTTTTCCTGTGCAGAATCTGAAGTCGAATCTGACAATATGGAAGCTTGGGACCCTACCACCTGCTTTAATTGCATTTAGAGGTCATGTTCACGCAATTGATCCAAAGTGGCACATGCTTGGGTTGGGTTATCAAAGTAAGACCGATATTGAATCTGTGTCAAGGGCTGCAGTTATACACTATAATGGTCAGTCAAAACCATGGTTGCAGATTGGCTTTGAGCATCTTCGGCCATTTTGGACCAAGTATATCAACTACTCGAATGACTTTGTAAGGAACTGCCACATCTTGGAGTCATAGCGGTTGTCTAGAGGTGCTCAAACAGGAGATAGAACAAGAAAAGACATGATTATATGGTATTCATGAAGTTTTTTTTGCAGCTCGAAATTTTTCGAGATATATTTGAGGAGACAAGCAGAAAATTCACCGTTGGGGTAGAACTTCCCAGTTCCGGAATCAATTTCATCCCCTGAAATTCTGCAGACAACAACCAGCATCCTCATTATAACAGCATGAGATTCATTCTTTCATTCTGTAACATAGCAATCTGTCCTCATTTTTTGGTTCGGAGAAAGGATAGTATTATTGGTCTTCGTGGCGGGGGGTTTTGCTTGATTTCTTTGCACACATGAGAATAAAGTGAAATTCAGACGACAAGGTGCCTTATGTCAATAGCATCATACTGGTTGGTGTAGGGAAGGGAAAGGCTAGGACAGGTCTTTTGTGAGGCTCTCCCATTAGCCCAGATATGTTTCTTTTCGCTCCATTTTTTTTCCTTCGAAAATATTCTCTCGTATTCATTTTTGTTAGTAGCCATTTCTTCCCCCCTGTTTATTTGATATCACGATGTTGAACTTTAGGAGTAGGACATGGAGATTGCTCTGTTACAGGTCCCATTGAATTGGGGAGCTGTTTTTAGGTACATCGATATCGGTATTTGTTTATGTACTGTTCACGATAGACATTTAAAATGTGCACATAAATTCTTTTTTCCCGGATTCTATTGTTCGTGTTTATGGTATTTCTTTTTTCTTGCTTTACAAGTTTGGCATCCTTGATTAGTCATGTCATCTTGAAGACTGAGTGATGAGTATAAAACCCTAGAGGGTTGTTGGTTCAACTCAGGCAACCGTCGAAAACGTTTCTAGACGGCCGACGACCGACGTTTTCTTGTCCCGCCACGGAAACGATGTCGTTTTCGTTGTGTTTGGCATGGCGCTTTGGAATGCATCAAATTTTAAACTCATGATTATTTACTAATTAAGGATTCTTACAAGTGGAATGTTCTAAGTTGATGATGACAAGGAACTCATAATCTTCTTTAGCAATTTTGATATTTATTTTGCAATTTTCAATTACGAGAGATTTTCTAGTAAATTTTTTTCTAATTATATAATCACATGTAGCATATCATCTCGAAAAAGAATCTCTCGCATTAGAGGGGGAAATGATTGTAGTTTCTGATATTTCAATGTCTACGTTTCTAATTAATTAATTTGGCCCACATTTGATTAGACCCTTTTGGCACTTTGCGTTTATATATAAATAAAAATCTATTTTTTAAGTGCATGATTAGCGATGTATTAGTGGCACTTAGTTGTTAATTGTGTAAAAAATGAATTTGATTATTCCAAAGCCTAACAATTTAATTGGAAGAATCTGAAACCTCTTGGACATACATACATGTCACGATTTCAACTACCCACCTACCCAAAAACCATACACAAATGTACATTGTATGTAATTCATGCGGCATTCACATCTTACCGTCGATCAAAAATCACTCATCTGTGAACGATTTATTTAAACTGACATCTTACTAACAGTTAGAAATCTCCGACGTGTGTCTTTAACTCGTATGAATCTCACATTTCATCAACAGTCAAAAATCATTCACGGACGTTCAGGGCAACCATAACAAAATCCTCAACACATGACCAAAAAGCCAGAGGCCAAAAGGAGGAATGTTGATGTACCCAAAACCACATACAAATGTACGCTGCATCTGCATGCAACACGTGCAGCTCAAAATTCGGATCCTTGCTTTGCTAAGTGTGGAATTAACGTCTTATCATCAATCATAAATCATTTATTAAACGTGGATGATTTATATTAAATTGACATCTTTTCACGTGCATGTTTGACTCGTATGAACCTCACATTTCATCAACGGTAAAAAATCACTCTACCGACGTTCAGGGGGCGGGGCCGTAACTAAATCCTTATTACATGACCAAAAAGCCAGAGGCCAAAAGGAGGAATGTAAACATTAAAGACAGCAATGTCTTGTTCTCCATCATCTCAGCCATCAGCCATAATTCATCTACAGATTTTGAGATAACGACCTTTCTCCCACTACCTCCCTTTCAAGTTTTGGGCCACCAATCCATTCTGCCCGGCACCTTACTATTTTTTTTGTTTGTTGAACAAACGATATTAATTTTTTCTTATATTTTAAAATTATTTTACAATGCTAATTAGCATTTAATGAAAACGCATTAGATCGATAGATTCGTCGTTCTCTACTACTACGATATAAATTAATCACAATTCATTGAATTAATATCATTATTAACTGTGAGTCCTTTGTGAAAATGCAGACGTTATTTTGTGGTTATGATTTGTGAACAAGACTAAAGGTAACATGTATGTTAGAGAGAGAAACTTATGTTGAAGATGTTATCGTGATTGCATCATAGTCAATCAAGTATTGTCATGTATTTTCTTTTGAGTAAACTAGTTGATCGGTGATCGTCTCATTAACTATATTATCAGGTATAATAAAAAATTTGAGATACCTGACAAGTGAAAATATAGTAAATCGAACAATCACAAACTTACCTTACCAAGAAAATATAGTAAATCAAACAGTGCCCAGCTCATCTTATGGAAAAAAAAAGTCAGTGTGTCAGGAATACAACTTAGTACACAAAATGTTATAACACAAATAGTTGGATACTTAAAAAAAATTTCAAACACTTATTTTATAACACTTAATATACCGTGACATGTTTCCGACACAATAAAAATTTCTCCACCTTACCTTAAAAGAAAATTGAAATAAGAAGACGTTGGAAGAAGTGGAAGAAGTGGTAGGTCGCAAAAGCCAAAGGGTGACTTCAAAAAGAGAGAAAAATGTGTCCAGTTCCATGGCTATAGGAGATTGCAAGGAGCAAGGAAATGGAGGCATTGACCACAGATTTGGAAGACTTTGAAAACTCCGAAACACCCTCGTTTGTTTCCGGGACCTTCTTATTTGATCTCTTCTTCCTCTCTGACTTCCTCTCTTTTAATTAAATCCAATAAACTCCCATTCCACTTCTTCTACCGGATTTCTGAACCACCGCTCATCAGACTCTGCAGAAAGAGAAGAACCCAGATCAATTTTGCAGCCAAGTAAGCAAAAACCCATCAAAGTTATTCCATTTTTTCTACTGTTTTGCTTTGTTTTGTGGTTTTTTTAGACTTTGGAGACCACCTAGTTGGGAATTTTTTATTTTTATTTTTTTGGATTTAATCAGCGCCCATTTGATCAGTTTTTGAGCCAAGTGAGCAAAAACCCATCAAAGTTCATCCATTTTCTTTACTTTTTTGATCTGTTTTGTGATTTTTTTTTGACTTTTGAGTATTTTTAAAGTTATTTGGATTTAATCGGCACCCATATGAAGCTTTTAGCTGGATTCGTGGATGCTGACAGCTAAACCACAGCTGTTAGTGATTTCCATGCTGTAAAATAGCAAGCCTTTTGGCTTACTTTCCATTTGAAGATTGCTGTAACTTGTTTAGTTTCCTTGTATATTTTCTTGCTGACCAATTTAAGAATCTGGTGTATTGATTGCTTGCTTGTAGAAAAAAACCAAGATACTTCTGGGATTTTCAATTCATTTGAACAAGCAGAAGAAAAAAAGCCTTTGAAGTTGTGAGATTGTTGGAGATGGCAGGGGTGCAAGATCAATTGGAGATCAAGTTTCGGTTGACTGATGGATCAGATATCGGCCCCAAAAGCTTTCCTGCTGCTACCAGTGTTGTAAACTTGAAGGAAAGCATTCTTGCTCAATGGCCTAAAGGTTGGTTCTTCTTTTTCGTTAAAATCAAAAGAAAAATTAAGTCCTTTGCCGTTTTGGTGTTTGATTGCAAAACAATCAATCTCAGCAGTCAGAAAGATTGTATGGAAAAGTTGCGGGAGGGAATTCGAATTGGTTGATATTGGATCATAGTTCATAACCCTAATCTGTGTTTGAATTTTCTGTGAAGTGATACCTTAACCGGACCATCATCTTATTTACAATTGACTACAGTCTTAGGAACATACTGTGAACTTGTTATTTCATTTGAAAAAAATAATTGGCGATCACCGTGCTTTTTTGTTATCTCACTCAAATTTTTAATGTCATGGGTTTAATTGATAATATCTTTGTTCTTTCTTGCTTCTCTTCCCCTCTTTTGGTCTTAAACTTTTTTTTCTGAATTGCGTAACCAAATACTATAGTACTCTCTTTGGGGAATTCAAGGATGACAAGTTAAGGTTGTTTTAAATTTCGATTGCATTTTTGGTTCGTATGAACATGATTAAAAGCACCCTTGGTATGCTTATGTTACATGGGCGAGCGATTGATGACATATCCTGTTCCTTTTATAGGCAGCCTTTTCGAAGGTGCTTATGTGATTAAACTGATGATTTTTATTTCAGACAAGCTAGCTAGCAGTAGTAAGGGGCACGACCTAGGAGCATTAGAAGATGAAGCAATGGCACTATGAAATTTGAATCTCACATTTTTTTCATGCTCTTTAACTGTTCTCATTTACCATCATAAGATCACTCTATTTTGTTATTTATTTCCATGCATGATGAACTTCGGTCGCTTGATTAATGTGTTTGACCTATTTAACCACAATAAGATTGTTTTTACCAGAGAAGGATAATGGACCGAGGACTGTCAAAGATGTCAAGCTAATAAGTGCGGGACGAATACTGGAAAACAACAGAACAGTTGCAGAGTGCCGGAGTCCATTATGTGACGTCCCTGGTGGAGTTACAACTATGCATGTCGTCGTTCAACCACCTTCACAGGAGAAAGGTACACTATATTTATGAGATTTACAAAACTATAACCAAAGCTTTCTGTATAAAGAATTTTTTGTTTCGCTTGTGGCCAACATCTCAAAGAAGATAATCTCGATCACTTTTTTTCTTTTGGCAACAACTTAGAAGTGAAAAAGTAAACATGGTCCTTCTGTTTTGAACAGCACATGCTTCTTCTTTCCGGAAGCGGGGTGGGGAACATCTGTTTTCCAAACTAAGCAGTTTCTTTAATTTTTTTTCACTTGCTATTTAATGGAATTCATGTTCATACCATAAAGAAGATACCATTTTGTCTATTAATATTCAGTTTATTTTCCCTTTTGTACGTGATTATCACTTTTCAATTGTGCCCAATTTTTCTCCTACCCATATTTGATTAAGAATGTATGTGGCGGAAATGGAAAAGACAAGATTTGATAGATTATTTCGATGTTTGCAAGTATATGTCATTCTCACTAAAGTTTGTTAAGCCTGCACTTTTGTTATTAGCGACCTTTTGAGTAGGAAAAACACCGAAAAAGTGCTGCATCATCTTAACCACCTGTCATGACTAGAAGAGATTGTTTTGCTTATATGCTTCCACATGATCTAAAATTTAATGTGTACCTTTAACAGAAAAGAAACCGATGAGCGAGCCAAAGCAGAACAAATGCGTTTGTGTTATATTATAACTTTTGCAGCTCAGATAGTGGGGATAACATCATTCTTAGGTGAGTGTTCATTGCTTCTCTTTCGTGCCTCCTCTAAATCTTATCGAATCCGCCTTTACATTGTCTCTCTTATCGCTAGGTGAAAGAGAGTTGGAGCTAATAAAAGAAAATGAAATGGATAAAATTGCAGATAGATTCAGCTCCATTGGAATTATGCAGGCTTCTTGTCATATGTCATGCGTTGGTGCAGGTCCGTCATGCTTTATTTGTTGTTAAGTCCGTCGGACTATGCTACATCACACATTCATATCTAAGATTTCTATGTAAAGAGTTCTTGTGCTGCATTTGTATTCACGTTTTACAATCGAATTTGTTTCATTCACCGTGTATAATTTTCAACCGTACCATCTTGGAAATCATATTATGTCAAGGAATTGGCAAGGCTCGTGAGGGGGTTGCCATCGTGCTGCGTTATGCACTCCGTTGTGTGGTGCAACAAAATGCTATGCCTCCACAGCTTGGGCCATAAACAAGGGTTTTAGTTTAGGTATGGAGGTTGAGAACTACAGAACTTTTGCCTTGTAATCAAACCACCCATGGAGGGTCAAGCTAAAAAATCTGTGTTCTTCATTTAGGTTGGATTTGATCTGAAAATTTATCGATCGATTCACAATGGAGGTGTTGGAATTGGGTTGTGATTTCAACACACTCTGTTTTACCTTGTGCACAACCCCTGTTAATCATGACCGTTGAGTTTACTTTGATTGTAATCTAACGGCTACATAACCATAAGGGTGTGTATGAAGTGAGAAAGGGCATGTGGAAAGCATTATCCTTTGGTATTTATCCTAACCCCGTTTGTATTCAAGATTATGAAGCAAAGCAACTTGCCTAGCTTAAATTTTTGACATGGTCTAGGCAGTCATTCACTGGGTTTAATTACCAAGAAATGATAGCTACCGAGCAGGACTTCACATGTCATACCGTTTGAATACTGAAAAATTTGAAAAGTTTCTCGTAGGCATGCTCTTTGGGAGTTGCCTTTTACTTTCTTGGACATTTTATAGTTAATTTCTAATGATTAACAGATTAAGAGTATTTATTTATCCACGGATGAAGTTATTATGCTTGATAACTCTTTTCCTTGGTATCTTCTGTATTAAAAAAAAAAAAAAAAAAAAAACGTACATGATTAAAAAAAAAAAAGAAGAAGTTTTCGTGTTTTTGTGGAGACCCCAAAGTGCCCATGAAATAGAGGAAATGTATGTTGGGATTGGATCATGTTCCTTCTTGTGGGTTTGGATTGAGCAACATGTTACACCTTAAACAACACATAATATCATATGACATTGTAGCATCCATTGTAGGCCAATTTTACTGAGAGAAACGAGAGGGAGACGGCCGGTGAGAGAGGGAGAGAGAGAGAGAGAAAGAAAGAGAAGCTCGTGAGAAATTATGCGTGTTATTTTTTCATGGCCTGTTCTGTTATTTATAGAGAAAGAAACTTGCTCTTCAAGTAATACAAGTTGTACAAATAAATATCTTCTAAAAGATATTGTAGAACACATAATTTACTAAAATTTATCCGGCCTCCACCCGTGACAAACGTGGCAAATTTTAACAAGTCCAAACCAGTGGTGCTCTTATTGGTGGAGACGGACAATTACTTCACTGCCATAACGTCTTGCGTGCCTTGTGCTGGTTGAGGCTGATCAAATGCTATACATGGGATGGATGCTAGAACGGCCTCATCCAGCACTAGTTACATAACACTAACATTAACTAGTTGATACCAAACGACATTGAGGTGCTACACTATGAGAGATTGTTCAATGTAATCAAAGCATAAGGCCATACACCACATGTTATTTATATAATTAGTGGAATTTTTTTTATGTATCTTTCTAATTGTATAATGATATGTGGTGTAGCGCCTTGTGTTCGGTCTATAAATATCTTCTGCACCAGTGCCACAAAAGTTATTATCGTACGTATCTTCTCATTTGTTGTAAGGTCGACGATATGTATGCAGTAAAATAAAGTAAATAAGACATAATATTTACGAAGTTCGACAAGTGTGCTTACGCTCTCGAGGCAGCAATAATACTTTCTTTCATTATCTGAAACAGTAAAAGTGCAAAATAATTCTCACTATTTTCTCTTTTATTTCTAGCTTAGTTCACTGGTAATTTTTTCCGCATTTCTTTTCTTTCCTCTTCTCTTCCTTTCCTCCATAAACCCTCTTTCTTTCCTCTGTATATTTTTCTCTCATCTTCTTCTTCTTCTTCTTCTGACTTCTTCCTGTATGCTCCCATTTTACGGGCAAAAGATTATTATAACAACACTATTCACTTTACAAACTTTCCTCAAATGAATAATGAAATACTGTGTATGAATAGTAACTCATTCATTTTTCTTCATATGAATAATGATTCATCAGATTTTTCTTTAAATAAATAATAATAAACTATTTATGTGGGTCATTCACATATTATATTACAACATCATTCAATTTGTTAGTCCCCAAATTCATCAGATCCAATGGTTCATTAAACAACGCCACGTGTACGATCCGCAGAAGTAGGCTTATCACCTACACTATAGACGCTACAGTACCAAATAATTCTCGACGTTTCCAGACGTCTCTTCTGTTTCCTTTCGGTGACGAAATAATAATAATAATATAAATTAAATTCGAAATTTGCGCTTCGTTCGTTAGCTTCACTCTCACTGAGACTCGCTTCACGGGAAGCTGCGAGAAAGCTCCCCACTGAGTCCGCGTCTTTTCTCAATTCCCACGCAAAGCCAAATCTCCTTCCTCCTTCTTTCTCCACCATTTCGAAGCAACCTCCTTTTCCTCCTCCTCTGCAAACCCGGAACCCACTTTCCACGACGCTCCCACAGCAATCGCAACCTTTTCTTCGAGCTCCTCCAATGGCGTCGGCGACCTCCCTCGCTTCTGGGGTCGCTCTTGTTCATCTTCCCCAATCGGGTTTTCCCAAATGCTGCGATAAAGCTTCCGTCTTTGCCCGCCCCCACTACTCCCTCAGCTTCAATCCCCGAGCCGACTTCTTTCGGGCGTTAATTTCACGGCAATTGACTCCGAACGGTTCGTTCCGAACCGGGTTGTGGAGGACTAATCGGAATTCGAGGCCTTTCGTCGTGCGCTGTGAAGCTTCAACTGGAAGGGGAAGGGTATGGTTTATTATTTATGTTGTTTTGGCTTAAACGACGTGTTGGGTTTTTTATTTTTGTGTAGAAAGTGTGGACGTGACGGGTTCTGGTATTTATGGAGTGACAGATTACACAGCAGGATTTTACAGAAATGGCGTGGCAAGCGATTGTTTCGTCGCCGGAAGTGGCGAAAGAGAACAAGCATCAGATAGTGGAGACTGAACATCTGTTGAAGGCACTCTTGGAGCAGAAGAATGGTCTTGCTCGTCGGATTTTTTCCAAGGTTGGGGTGGACAGTACCCGGCTTCTCGAGGCCACTGATAAGTACATTCAGCGCCAACCGAAGGTACCTTTCGGATTTCGCTATAATGATTCAGCACACGAATTTGGTTTTGTTTATGAACTTTGGGGTTGCTTGTTTCACTCTTGAATTTACTAATGCGCAATGGGATATTAGATTAATGACCGAGGATAGCTGTGAGCCCTGCAAACTTAGATTATGATCTGTCTGAGTATGCGGTTTCTAGATTGTTGTAATTAAAAATTACGGCTTTGGGAGGCCATTAAAGCGTAAGATGGCGTTGGAGTGAGGTTTCCATCATGGTTTTCAGGCGGTGTATGAGATACTAGAAACACGTATTCAATTGACTGCTAGGATGACATAGTACATACATTCGCTACTTTGGTGTTTTTATGCTGAACCTGTGATTGACTTATGTCCGTTTCTGTCTAATTACAATAGGTTTTTGGTGAATCTGCGGGCTCAATGTTGGGACGTGATTTGGAAGCCTTGATTCAGCGAGCCAGGGATTACAAGAAAGAGTATGGTGACTCATTTGTGTCTGTCGAGCATTTGATACTTGGTTTTTCTCAAGATCAACGGTTTGGGAAGCAATTATTTCGGGATTTTCAAATATCCAAGGAAACTTTGAAATCAGCTATAGAATCCGTAAGGGGGCGCCAATCAGTTATTGACCAAGGTTGTACTGCATTTCATTACTTTTTCGTTGCAGTCTTCTCATGGTGCTTGATAGCCACTTCAGCGTTCCGTTTCTTATGCTATCCTTTAATATCTTGTTGTACGGGATTGTGACTCTCCATTTATGTTGCAGATCCTGAAGGGAAATATGAAGCACTTGAAAAGTATGGAAAAGATTTAACAGCTATGGCAAAAGTAGGAAAGCTTGACCCAGTAATAGGAAGAGATGATGAAATTCGCAGGTGCATCCAGATTCTCTCCAGAAGAACAAAGAACAACCCGGTGCTGATTGGTGAACCAGGTGTCGGAAAAACTGCAATTTCTGAAGGGTGAGTAACTAGTTGTTTGCCTGTGTATATGTGCATATAGATATATGAAAGCATTATTGGCTTCCCGCATAAAAAGCTATCCAGTTCTGGCATATCTTACGTTATCTGTAATCTTAGTTATTCAACAGCTTGCTCAAACCTTAATCTATATTGACCTTCTTTGGAGGCCTTGTAGCGAGTCTCGTTTGTGTACATCAATCTAACTCTAGCTCTTCAACAGGCTTGCTCAAAGAATCGTGCAAGGGGATGTCCCACAAGCTCTGATGAATCGTAAGGTGTGTGCTCTATCTTGAGATTGATTCCTCCTACCAGTAATATGTGCTTTCCCCTCACCGCCTTGTGCATATGCTCTGCTATTGATAAATTAGTTATGGGGAAAGTAGCAGTTCTGATAAATTGGTTGCAAAATCTGGATATTTACATGACCAATTCCTTTACAGTTAATATCCCTTGACATGGGCGCACTAATTGCTGGGGCAAAGTATCGGGGAGAATTTGAGGACAGGCTGAAGGCAGTACTCAGGGAAGTAACAGAATCTGAGGGCCAGATAATCCTTTTTATAGATGAGATCCACACAGTTGTTGGAGCAGGTATTAAGCCTTCTAATCTAAGGTTATTTTCATATATTTTGGTGGTATAAGCATTTAATGATCAATCTTTTAATATCTTTTTTTCTTCTGTTCCTGTTGTCCTTTGTTATTGAGTTTGTTTGGTCCATTGAATTTAATCCATTAACGTATTTGAAATCTAGTAATAGTTCCATTCAGGGGGTTTGGTTCGTTGAAAAATAATGATATTGGCTTTAGGGAGATGATGATGTATTGTTACGATCAGGTGCTACAAACGGTGCAATGGATGCTGGTAATCTCTTAAAACCCATGCTTGGTCGAGGAGAGTTGCGGTGTATAGGTGCAACAACACTGGATGAGTATCGTAAATATATTGAGAAAGATCCGGCATTGGAGCGTCGGTTCCAGCAAGTTTATGTTGATCAACCTACAGTGGAAGATACCATTTCAATACTCCGAGGACTGCGTGAGAGATATGAGTTGCATCATGGAGTCCGCATTTCTGATGGTGCACTGGTGGAAGCTGCAATTCTCTCAGACCGTTACATCAGTGGGCGATTTTTACCTGACAAAGGTAA